AAAAAAAAAAGAAGTTGTTGCGTCACATAGTTATATCTTAAACAATAAGAAACTCAGGAGTAAATTAATTTGATAGCTACAGATGCATTTGGAATGTATGATCTGCAGGTCTTACACAGTAACACCATCATTAAACTGCACGGCAGGCATATGATTTTAATTCTTTTGGCAATGTGGGGATTTAGTTTTGTGTTGACAGGTGGAGCAGCATGTCAGTGCATGAATGGTAATGATACTTATTCTCTAGTTAGGCAAATAAAAATGACAGGCTAAGTCAAGCACGGCACTGAACCAAAATACATTTTTAAATTATATTATTAGATAAATGAGAAAAGTCTAGTTTAATATAACCATCATTTATTGAAATATTTTAATTAGATTTAAGCAAAAGGTGAGTAACTGAAACAAAGTCTTAAGAGCAAATTAATCATTTAATAAACTTCAGCATTGTCTTTAAAATATTGAAATTTTAGCAATATCAGCCATGATATTTTATTGCTTGGGTAAATAAAGAGTAACGTAACTGAAGTCGTTGGAATTTCATGGATGTAGAGCTCTTGTGACAGTTAAGGCTGAAACAGACCTTCTTTTCTTCTATTTTAGTTTACGTATTCTGTCCCTCCCTTTCACATTCATGAATAATATATATCCTTATGTGGGGATTAGGTATATCAACCTGAGTTTTCCATCAAAATAGTTCATTTTTTCTCCTTAAATTTATGAATATTTATTAAGGGATTCTGGGTTAGTTAATAGTATTTTCCCTTAATACACACACACGAATCCACATGTGCATAACTGAAAAATGAGAGGTATCTGCCTTGGGACTAGACTGCTCCTAAGCTCCCACTAGCAAACTGTAAGGTAAACATTCCTTAATAAGCAAAAAATAGTCTTTCCTCCCACGATGTGAAAAGTAGATAGATTCCTCCCATAAAACTTTTTTTCACTTCAAGATAAGGAAACACAGGCAGAAAAACTATGTGAGAACTTCATATATTATCTGGAAAGATTCTCCATGCTAATTTAAAAAAGATTGTAAAGCTGAGGATGAGACTCTAAGGCACAAAACCTTCATGGACACTTCAGTAAGGGATGGAAATGAGGTATCAGGCTGCAAGATTTGCCAAAGATTTGAATACAAATTAGAATATCGCTTTTTGTTGATTGATGTCCATGTCAATATACTATTCTTGAATTTATCATACATATTAGTTGCATCTTACACTGAAAAATTATAGAGTGCACTAAAGTGAAACAAGGTGGTAAATCTTTGATGTACCTGTTTCATATGGAAGAAGTGCGATGCAGCTGCAGAAGACAGCTGACTGCTTTCAAATGAAACCTTTTTCCCTCACACAAAAAAAAAAAAAAAAGAGAGAGAAAACAAACATGTCCATGTACCGCAGAATTTTACTCAACTCTACTTCTAAGGATTCCCTTGCAAAATTAAAAAAAAAAAAAATAGCTTGAGGGTTGATTAAGATCAACTTTAGCTTATTAAGAGCAAAGACAGATTAGCTTTTTTTAAGAGATAGCTGTGCCTATTGAGACTGCAGAGGAGTCTGAGCGGCAGCATGACATAGCACCTTTGAAGTTTCTCCAAAGCTTCCATGTTCATCTTTGCTCAAGTGGTAGTTTCAATGTGCTAACCCCCATCCCATAGGCAGTTATTATAAATCGTTGCCTGAGGATGTAACGAGGCAAGCTGTAATTAGCCATGAGGAACCATCGTTATGAACTTGCTCTGTGGACAGTTAGACTTGATATCATTGCGGACTAATAGTCTAAAAACACAAGTTGTATTCTTGTTTGCAGGCAGTTGGGAATTTGTTTTTAAAAGTACATCCAGTTGTGTTTTCCTATGAAGCTAAAGGAAGTATTACGTCAAACGATGTAGAATTCAGACTGTAATTCAAGTTTTACTTTTGTGTTCTTCAACAGACAGTAACTTCATCCTTGCAAATGCTCAGGTGGCTAAAGGATTCCCTATTGTTTACTGCTCAGATGGCTTCTGTGAGCTTGCTGGATTTGCACGAACTGAAGTCATGCAGAAGAGCTGCAGTTGTAAATTTTTACTCGGTGCTGAAACAAATGAGCAGATGATTCTTCAAATTGAGAAATCGTTGGAGGAAAAGGTAGAATTCAAGGGAGAAATCATGTTCTATAAGAAGAATGGTAAGTTTTTCTTTCCTGTTGTGTTAGTCCCAAAGAATGAATATTAATGCATATAATGCATTTCCATGTGATGATTTTCTATGCTTATAATCAGATCTACAGGAATAGATGTGAATAAAGACAGTTGCGTACACGTTGAGACTATGTTTATATTATTGTTACTGATTTTGTATAACTATACAAGTTACAAAGCTGCGTAGAAGAAATTCAGTACTAAACAGCACTGTGAGACACTGTTATTTGCGTTCAGAATGACACTGTTTTCTTCTTTTTCTTATACTGAAATCCTTACCCTTTATTGCTGAAACTGTAATTCAAACATTAATACTCGCCATAAGGTAGACAGTGGCTATGTAAAATTTTCAATGCCATCAGATTTGGAAAATGCTCAGAACTTTGAATGATCCATGTGACTCATTCTCCACAGCCACTATATATAAAAATCAATAACAATGATTTTCAGAAAGGGGGTAAGTACTCTAAGTAAAATTTAGTGTGTATTGTCACATGAAAAAATTCTGAGCATTAAGCAACCCCTTAGACTTCAGTAAATTTCAAGTTGCACTGCCAAAGCTTTGTCTGCTATGATAGGGTATTTATAAGGACAATTTCATAGTCAAGATGAGTGAGCCATGGAAGAAAGCACCCTATGATGAACACTTATCAGCTTGTTTCATTTATATCACGCCCCCTTCAATGCACTTGTTCTGTGTTTACACTGCCATCATTCATGTGATCTTCAAACACCTGACACTAAGTGTGAGACACTGATAGGATTGCAACCACTCCAGTGCTACAGGAGCCTTCAGGTGTGCTTAAGGATCCATGGGCTCAATGGATCCACAAGAGCCTGTTGAGTATCACCTCATGTTTTATTATACATGTAGAATTTCTAGGCATATGTTTAGGTCACATGTTTTCCTCGTAGATCCTACTTATGTCTTTGCTAATGAAACATTTTCTGCTCAAATATTATTACTATTATATTAAATAGTTTTAAAAGTTATTTTCTAAAAGTAAAAGGTATGTATTGACAAGAAGATAGTTGGTGATTTAGGGTGCTAGGAGAAGGCAGCTTCACTTTCCCTGACTTATACAAAAGAGAGAGATGTTGCTTAGCTGGCTTGTGTTCGTGACTGCTATTTTTCACAGTATGAAATTTGGAAGTAATTCTGAAGATGCTGCTAAATGCTTCATCCTCTTGTGTTTCTGGGGAGGCTTGAGGAGGAAGGTGTGTTTGTTGGTTTTTAGCTTTTAGAAGAGATTCCCATAATACCTTGAGCTTGTGTTTCAGGTTACTGGAAGAAAGTAGTTTCAAATTTGTAAATCATGTCTGAATGTAGGGGAAAAAATGATTTTAATCCAGAAAGATAAGAGCTGTTTTTCTCCAAAATTGTATAGTGACAAGTGGGCACAGTAAAAAGAGATTTCAATGTAAGTAAATGAAATAAGTAAAGCTAACTTACTCATTTCACTGTCTTGGTCCTGAATGATAAAGTGTGATTCCTTTGCACTGTGAAGAGGTGCTTCAACCCTATAATAGGTATGATTAATGCAGGCAGAAAGAAATTACAGGCTAATTTGCTTATCAATGAAGTAGCTGAACCACAGATAAATAGATATAGAGAATTTTTTTAGGATAAAACAATTCCTACAATCCATGCTACTTGTATCCTTGTGTATAATTTGACTGGAAGCCATTCCAAGACATTTTCTGAGTATGAATATATTTCTTAGACAGACTGCCTATTATATTTTTCATTTTCATGTATTTCTGTACCATTGGGAAGCGAATGAATAGGTATTAAAATAACATGAGACTGTTGAATAAAAGCAAGATTTATTTTAAAATAGCGTTGTTTTTGCAACAGAGCTACTAAGTGTAGACACCAAATTTGGTAAATAGTCCATTTTAGCTAAATGCTTTGGCTCTGAGTTTTGGGTTGTTTTTTGGTGGTTTTTTTTTTTCAGAAGAAAAATTGAACTTCTGAAGCAATTAGACTTACTCAACATTAGTGGGGAAAAAAAAAGTCTTTGTTGAAGAAAAATGTTGTAAAAATATTTTAAATGTAAGAACTTTGAAAATAATAACCCCAAAATGACTGTGTGGGTACCTTCAGGCTTACTTGATATTGAAAACAATTGTCAGTTGAGCTAGCACCCAGTGTAATGCCAGGAACATAGGTCAGTGGCAGACAAGTAACTAGCAATGTCTGGTTGTCATAGGTTTACTTTTCAATGTCCTGTTAGGACTTTAGGGAATCACAGTGAAACTAGGTATCTGGCTGAAGTCCGCTATTCAGAGGTACAGCCTTGCTCTGTAGTGCTTGCTACAAAACCAAATGAACACTTTCAGGGATAACTTCAGGGACAGAAGTTCAGCTTCAGGGATAATTCTGAGCTCACAGAATAGACTGAAATGTCCCTCAGCGTACTTCTTAAAAGCTTAATAATAAGTACAATTTTATGAGAAGAAATGACTATGAGGGAAATGGATGTATGAACACAATAACTTATTCTTGGTTCCTTCTGAATTTGATCTAAAATGTTGAAGCTAGAAATCTGTAATTAATCTTTTTTTTTTTTTTTTTTTTCCCCAATTTGTGTCTCATCTTTAGGGAAATAAATTCAAGCTTCCAAAACTGACTATGGATTGATTTCTTAATTACCACATTTCTCAATATTTTGATTGTGATTTAAACTGAGTTTAAAACTGTTTAGTTTTTATCATTACATTAAATTGTTCATTCTAAACAAGTAGTGATTCAAGTTTGGGACTTAAAGCTCTCACTAGTTTTAATCTTAATTTAGTAAGTTTGAATATGGGGCCTTTCACAGTTACTTAACCATCATTTAAGAATTAACATAGCCCTTCTGCTCAGGAATTGTTAGTTAAAGGAATGATTGTTCTAACTAAAGCAACTCCAGCAACCCACATGCAATTTCATGGAAGTTCCAGACTACTTTGAGTTTACACTGCAGCAAGAACGGCATGCAAGGAGTTGAGTAAAATGAATTACCTATTTGTGGGATTAAACGTAGGATTTCATTGTCTTTGTCATTTGGGTTTGGATCTTAACAGAAGGATGATCTTCAACAGTTGTATTCTGACCAAACTAGAAAACAGTTCTCCAGGAATGTCTAGAAGTGTATAGGAACTTTCCTCTATATGTGTTCTCCTTTTGGCATTTTAACAAATCCTTAGAATTAGATAAACTGGCTGTATCTTCTCATCCAGGATATTTTCTGCCATGTTAGCACAGAGCAGTATTAGAGCTGTTCCAGCAGCAACAGCAGCTTCAGAGAGAGACATATTTTGAAAATCCCACTCAAAATACACTTTACGTCACAGTTTCAGTATTCGTTTTGGTTCCTCAGTCAGCTTCTAACTTTTTATTCATCAGAGTTATTTATTTTTTTTAAGACAAGCAGAAAAGAAAACTGTTAAAAGATAAATAATTTTATGATTGTTGCCTTCTTCAGAAAGTTTTAAAATTATATAGCTTAGGAGCTGATTTTAAAAAGGACTTTTTTTTCTCTTACTATTTCTACACTTTCTTCAAAACATCTGCAACAAATTAAGTTGTCAATTATGATAATGGAAATGCAAAGTAACTTTTTTTTTTAATTCAAGTGAGTTGTGAGAAAAAAGCTCACTCCCTGGATCTCTTTTTCACAGTAGTCTAAAAGCAAATAGACATGATGCTGAGGAACTACATTTAGACAAACGCTTCTCTTTCTTCCTGTCAGACCACAGCAGAAATTTATCAATAGCAATTATATGTAGTTAAATGAGGTCTTCACAATACCCCAAACTGAAGTATAAATAAGCAGTGGTGTTTTCCTTTTCTGTTACAGCTTAAGAGGATGCTAAAATAAGCCCTATAATCATTGACCTAACCCAGTCCAAGCTCTCCATTTTCAGCTGCTGATAAGGTCATACCTTGGTTTCCTTATGACCCAGTCAGACTCATTTCTTATGTCACAAAAATCAGTTTGCAGTGCTTAAAAAGAGGTCTGTTCTTACACACGCCCTCTTAAGACCTGCAGTAGTCCTACAACCTTTCTTCATTGCAATGAAATAGACATCTTTCTGTGTATGTGTAACTTGCGTGAAACACTATGTAATCAGTGATGGAGAGTTCTGATTTAGGGACATTTGAGAGCCTTCACCGCGGTGTCCGTTGTACCTGTGCACCCCAGCAACAGGGTTGTTTGTGCAGGTTTTTGTGGGCAATTAAAAATCCCTGCTGTAAAGGGACTGGAGTGAGTGGGTGTTGCTGGGACCACCATTACAAGTTGTCTTGAGACTTGGCTGCAAGCAGAATTTGCTTCATCTGTGATAGACCACGAGGACTCAAGGGACAGTTTGTTATCTTCTACATGTAAGCTCATTTAAACATTTTCTGAGGTATGTCTCAGGCATGTGCTTTGTAGTTCTTGGCCCCTAAAGATTTGGTAAATAACTTGTAAATTCAGGAATGTATGATATAGTTATTTTCTTAAATTTTTAATTTTAAGAGTCAGTAAGATTAAATCAAGGTATTTTGGCTCTTCTTATCAATGAAGGAAAATATGTGGTTTAATAACTCCGTATCCTTATGTGGAAGGTCAGGACCAAGGTATTATTTCAGATGAGTGGAATATGAGTGAGTCATATGAGAAAGTCAGAGCCTCTTACTAGGAACCATGAGGCAAAAGGCCATTTGAAGTCTGGATGTGACAGTGTTCTCACATGAGCAGCAATGACAGCCAGGCAAATGAAATAAGCCTCAAGCCTTAAGACATCATCTATAGCCATGTTTGCAGTTGAATAATGTGGCTACAGGATAACAAAGGCTTCATTACATTATTTGCAGTTAATATGTGAGTTGTGTTAAGCAAACAAAGCAAGCTTTTTTTAGATGATGAGTTTAATCTTATTTAAAATTATAGAAGAAGTAATTAATTATAAAGAAATTTAAGGACAATTAATTTCCTATAAAATGAAAGAAAATTAC